TTAATATTTTCAGATTGCAATAGTTCGAGATTTAAGGAATTTAAGTTTTGAAAGCTTTTCAGATTCTGAGATTTTAAGACTTTGAGAATTTAGGAAGTTCATATTTTTAGATTTTAACATCCGAAGATTCAAAGATATTCGGGTTTTAAGAAGTCAAGATTCGAAGACTTTAGGATGTTTATATTTTCAGATTGTAAGATTCGGTCTTCTAAGGTTGTAAGTTTAAGATCTTGAGGTTTCAAGATTTCCAAATTTCAAGAGTAAGAGTTTAAGACTGTAGGAATTTCATATTTTAAGAGTTTAAGATCGCAAGATTCTAAGACATAAGGGTTTTAAGATTTCAAGATTCGAAGACTTTAGGATGTTTTTATATTTTCAGTTTTTAAGATTCTAAGTTCGAAGATTTTAAGATCTCGAGATTCTAAGATTGATTGTTAGATTTTAATTTAAGATTTTAAGAATCTAAGACTTTAGGATTTTGAGATTTCAATCCAGGCCATTTTCCATCCATTTTCCAGCCACTTTAAGATTTTAAGATTTTCAGGTTGCACGTTTTCGGCAAAGTTGGCCCGACTTCGGGGACAACATCCCCAGCATCCCCCGCATCACCGGCATCATCCGCATCAATGTCCGCCAAGGATGCGGATGATGCAGGTGATGCCGGGGATGTTGTCCACTATGGGCACCCCCCAAAAAACACTCGTTTTTTGACTCCGCGGGGAGATGCTCAAAAAGCCCTTGAACAAATCCGCAAATCCTTCGGCCCTTATAAGGGTGGGCCCAGCTTGGCGCAGCGCAAAAGTTCGGCGGTGGGTCGGCGGCACAGGGCGGCCGGCCTTATACCTGAAGGTAGGCCCTGCGGGCCTAGGCCTTCGGCCGTATCACGGACCACGGGGTCTGAAGCCCCCGGTGGCCGGATTTAAGGGCTGCCGCCCAGTGCCGCCGACCCCTGGATTTAGTTGTGGTTTTGGAGCCACAAAAAACAGTGCCCTTGGTTTTGGTTTCTTTGGTTTCTTTTGGGTGAAATGTTAGTGGCCCCAAAAGGCTAATCTTGTATTTCAGGGTTTGTTTGCATTTTTGAAGACACGATCACTATCATCGTAGCATCCTCTGCATTACCAAGGGTGCCTAGCAATGATCATGACTATGCATCACTATCGAAACGGCACCTCGCCTCAGATGCCATTTGTGTCATTGAGATTTGGAGTCCTGCCTTGATGATAATCATCACTACGCATCATTCGCAGCATCTGTGGCAATCATGAGGATAATCATCACTACGCATCCCCAGCATCTCCAGCAGCGATGATCATAATCATGACTACGCATCACTGTCGAAACGGCACCTCGCCTCAGATGCCATTTGGGTCATTGAGATTTGGAGTCCTGCCTTGATGATAATCATCACTACGCATCATTCGCAAGAAACCAAAGAAACCAAAACCAAGGGCAGTGTTTTTGGTTGCTCGAAAACCACAACTAAATCCAGGGGTCGGCGGCACTGGGCGGCAGCCCTTGAACAAGAATGAGATGATGATGAGCATCATGATGATGATGAGAAGAGCGATGACATCATAATAAGGATGATCATGATGATGATTATGATGATAACTATCATCGTAACGCCCTTTGCATCACCAGTGCTGCCTAATAAGAGATGATAATGACCGTGATGATAATGATGACAAGGATGTGATGATAACTATCATCGTAGCATCCTCGGCATCACCAGTGCCGGCTACTAAGAGACGATGATGACCATGATGATTACGATGACAAAGATGAGGGCTGTAATGATATATATCATCGTAGCATCCTCGGCATCATCAGTGCCGACTAACAAGAGATGATGATGACCATGATGATAGTGATGATAAGGATGAGGACTGTGATGATAACTATCATCGTAGCATCCTCTGCATTATCAATGGGGTCTAACGTTACTTTTGAAATGCATGTAAGAATAAGAATAAGAATAAGAACAAGAATGAGATGATGATGATCATCATGATGATGATGAGAAGAGCGATGACATCATAATAAGGATGATCATTTGATGATTATCATGATAACTATCATCGTAACACCCTTTGTATCACCAGTGCTGCCTAATAAGAGATGATGATGACATCCTCGGCATCACCAGTGCCGGCTAATAAGAGATGATAATAACCATGATGATAGTGATGATAAGGATGAGGACCTTGATGGTAAATATCGTCGTAGCATCCTCTGCATTGCCAACGGGGTCTAACGTTACATAGGAATTCATATAAGAATAAGAACAAGAATGAGATGATGATGATCATAATGATGATGATGAGAAGATCGATGACATCATAATAAGGATGATCATGATGATGATTATGATGATAACTATCATCGTAACACCCTTTGCATCACCAGTGCTGCCTATGATGATGATCATGATGATGATGAGAAGAGCGATGACATCATAATAAGGATGATCATGATGATGATTATGATGATAACTATCATCGTAACACCCTTTGCATCACCAGTGCTGCCTAATAAGAGATGATGACATCCTCGGCATCACCAGTGCCGGCTAATAAGAGATGATAATAACCATGATGATAGTGATGATAAGGATGAGGACTGTGATGATAAGTATCGTCGTAGCATCCTCTGCATTGCCAATGGGGTCTAACGTTACTTTTGAAATGCAAATAAGAATAAGAACAAGAATGAGATGATGATGATCATCATGATGATGATGAGAACAGCGATGACATCATAATAAGGATGATCATGATGATGATTATGATGATAACTATCATCGTAACACCCTTTGCATCACCAGTGCTGCCGAATAAGAGATCATCGTAGCATCCTCGGCATCACCAGTGCCGGCTACGAAGAGACGATGATCCTCGGCATCACCAGTGCCAGCTAATAAGAGATGATGATGACCATGATGATAATGATGACAAGGATGAGGACTGTGATGATAACTATCATCGTAGCATCCTCGGCATCAGCAGCGCCGGCTAATAAGAGATGATGATGACCTGATATGATAAGGATGAGGACTGTGATCATAACTATCGTTGTAGCATCCTCTGCATTGCCAATGGTGTCCAACGTAGCATCCTCGGCATCACCAGGGCGGCCCGAGACTTACCCCACGGGCCCATTATCCCTAGCACTCCTTGTGCCGAAAAGTAAGGGGCTCATTTTTTGAGATAGCGCCCCCTGCGCCCAAGCCTAAATGAGTCCCCTGTGTGGCAGCTACAATGGGCCAGAGCGGGGCGTTAAGCCCCAATCTTCAGGGGCCGGGGGGGGGCAGTCATCATGATCATCATGTCCACGCAGCTTTTGCATGTCAAACCCTCTCTAACGCCACAATTGAAACGTATATCAAAAAATAGGGATGATGACGAGGATGATGATGTTGAAGGATATAGAAATGATGATGATGATGTTGACGATAAGAATGATGAAGGATCATATCGATGATGATGATGATGATGATGGGCATCCGTATGATGCCAGTAGTCATATGCTTGCCTCAAAGATTAATCCATGCGCTTGTACTGCAACCACCCTTCCCGTGCGCCTCCCCCTTTGAGGAGAAGGGGTCGGCGGATTTGCTTCATGATGATGATGCTGATGATGATGATGATGATGATGGGTGTGTGTGTGGGTGTGTGGGTGTGTGCGTGTGTGCGTGTGTGCGTGTGTGCGTGTGTGCGTGTGTGCGTGTGTGCGTGTGTGCGTGTGTGCGTGTGTGCGTGTGTGCGTGTGTGCGTGTGTGCGTGTGTGCGTGTGTGCGTGTGTGGTGTGTGTGTGTGGGTGTGTGTGTGTGTGTGCGTGTGTGTGTGTGTGTGTGTGTGTTTTGATGTGTGTGTGTGTGTTTATGTGGGGGTGCTTAGAGTTTGCTTGATGGCGCCATGTTAATATTGTGTTGAGCCTTGGTTTGCTTAGCTTTGATGTTGCTTGTTGTGTTGTGTTCCTTCACTGCTATTTGTATGTCTTAGTTGTGATTGCTTGTGTTGGTTCGGCTTGTTGTAGCGGAGTTGCCGACAGGCGTTGGAAAGGTATGTGTGTGTTCTTTCTTTGTTTTTCTCTCCACTTGGCTTGTGTTTGTCGTTATGTGCGTATTGTCTTGTTTTGTTTTTGTCTTTCTGACTTGTTGACTGTTGTTTTGTTTTCTTTCTTTCTTTCTTTCTTTCCCGCTCTCTTCATTTGTTGTTTGTTTGCGTATGGTTAGAGGTGTAATTTTGTCATTGTGTTCTCTTGCTTCCCTTCAACAGACATGGAAGCGCACCAAAGGCAATTCCTCGGATGATAGTCGTCCAAACACCTCAAGGCATCTTCCATGCTTTGGTGCAGTCGTGAGGACATTGATGGTGTCAAGGAAACCAAACCTATAAAACACCAATGCTACCTGGGGCCTGGAGAACAGGGCAGCAGCTGAGATTCGTCCAGCCAAAATGTATATGCATTCCAGTTGGCCGAAGTGAATCCGTCGACAAAAACCCTGTAGCTTCCGAATGAGTCCCACTTCTGTTTTAAACATCAGCGGTTGGTCTAATTTAAAGTGAGCTTCAGGGCGATGTCTCCTTGCTGGGGGTTTGTTGTCTCATTCTCCCTTCAACACCACCATCATGCGCCATGCGAAGTTCAATTGCGGCAAATATGGGTTTCGGGTTGCTCATGTCCTACACGGTAGCCGCATATGTCATTGTTGACCTTGGCTCACGGATGCTTTGGGGATCGCAGAGCTATGTCTTGATCAGAGCTTCATTTCAGGCCTTGTCAGATCGTGCTTGTGTCGTGGTTGCTATTTAAGCCGTTTAAGCCAAAACTGTTGGGGAAAATGATGCAGCTGTGTCTTTTTGAGGGTACCCCTTTTCTGGCGGTGTCAAAGAGAAACCAAAAGGACCACCTCCATGTTTATGCTGATTGTGGAGGGGGGTTCCCTACAAAAAGGCACGCCCGAAACAGCAACGCCGCGCGGGGGATTGAGCCTCGAGGTCACCACGATGCGCACGGCGGGGATCGTCCTGTTCAAGCACACCATTCGGCTGCACAAGCGCTTTGGTTCCAACACCAACTTCGAAAACGGCAACATCAAGGATGCCGTGGAGCGGGCGAGGAACTACTTCGGCAAGGGTGCCTGTCACGAACCATTTCAGTTGCTTTTGTCTTTGGTCGTTGTTGAATCCGGTTTGCTTCCCAATGAGTGAACTTGTTCGATCGCCGGATTTTGAACTGCTATTTGGCATGCAAACGCAAGAGGACATGTTCACAGTGCAGCCAAGGGACGCTCCGCCAAGACTTTGGGGTGGGGGAGGTAGTGCTCATGTGACGAGCGTTCCCGTTTGACAAGCACCCTTTTAGGTATGAGAGTTTTGTCCTGTCAGAAGGGAGAGCTTTAGCGGAGCCATACGAGGTGAAACGACCAGTTGTTGTTTAAAGGGAGACCCCTTTGGCCCCTCAGAGCTTGAATTGCCTAAGGGAGGATCCCTACATCCCTCAAGCAAACGAATTGGAGATGGAATCACCCCAAGGTACGGGAAATGCAGCCAGCCCTATTAAAAGACAACTTTACGGATACGGGCGACTCACTCAGTGTTCCCACAAAAACCGGACAAAATGCTCAAAAAAACATGCAGTTTCGACCACTGTGCGGCATTCAGCTCTCAGGTCAAGCCACCGACGACGACAAGGCCTTGCAGGGCATGTCCCGCTCCGTTTTGGCCCAATTGAACGCCAGCACCGCGGCCGGCGCGGCCGGCGCAAGCGCTTCGAAGCGCCTCGGCGGAGGTGTTTCTTAGGGAAATCCCTTTTAGGATTGAGCGGGAAGGATGGCCAGAACCACTTAGATTCCAAGATTTGGAGAGAGAACCCGCTCCAGAACCGAACTTCATACTGTTGTTGCCTTTGTTTAGTGAGGGTTGGGACCTTTTTCGAACCTTGCTTGCTCAGCGGTATTGTGGGCATGTCTACCATGGGCGGATATGTGCAGCTCCCTATTCACCATTGGGTTTCGCAAAAATTGGGCAACCCCTGCCTGCATCCTACCACAAAGTTGAATCATCTTCAACCTCCCTTCCCCCAAAAAGAGGCGCGGCAATTCAGTGGCACCCTTTCTCCCTGGTTGTTTGTTGGGTTCCCGCTAACACGGGCTAGAATCAACCAAGCAAATTAGAAATGGTTCCAGCTCTGTTTCCGCCATTTCAGTCGACAGCATGGGGCTGCAGCCTTTCGATTTTTTAACACCATTGGAAGAATGGGCTCCTTTGTAAAGGGCCGGTTTCCTCGTATGCCAAAAAAAAAGCCCAAAACGGAGCCTCGTAGAAATGGGTGCCAAGTCCCAGAAGCGGACCGTACCGGCTGTGGTTTCGGGTGCCCGATGCAGATTTGGTCCTGCCAGGCCAGACACCGACGACGAGTTTAGCTTTGAGCCGGAGTCCGAGGAGCTCTATTTGGCCTCGGCGAGGTATGACAAGAGCCTTGGACGAGGGTTGGCCCAACGCAGGGGACCTTTCAGTTCGTTCTTACGGCTTCCCTTTTGGGGGGTGGGGGGTTCCTCATGTTTCGAAACCCAAGTAGCAGTTCGGACTGGGCGCAGTTCCTGTGGCAACCCTTTGAGATTGTTACTTAAAGGAACGCCATGCATTTGGGGCGCTCATATTTTGAGATCAGCCCATAGGTTAGGTTTAAACTGGTCGCTTGCATAGGGCCCCCAATTGGTGTCCCTGGAAAGTATTGGGGAAGCGCAGTCCTGATCATTGAGTGTAGCCTTTGTGGTTTGTTCCGTTGGGAAGCACGATGGTTTGGGGGTAGTGCAAACCCCTGGGGTGTGTTTTCGAAAGAAAGGCATGCATATGCTTAAATATATAGATATATAATACATAGATATATAATGATATATACATACGCAGAAATATAATATTCATGTCTAAGATACATGAGCAAGCGACGCTATTACGGGTCTATATGTTGGTTTGGGGGGCCATCCAAATTCCCACCAAAGAGGCGACAAATTGTCCATGTCCTTTTTGGGGACACTATGTTTTGTCCGTATCTCGTAGAAAAACACATATATACATACAGATATGACAATGTATGGTGTTTTGGGAGGATTCTGTTTTCTGGATGTGCTAAAAGGACACGAAAGGGAAACCACCCATTCAAGAAATGTCCCATTAGACAAACCTATAAACACTCTACCCTTGAGGTACGCCTATTGCACAGCCAGAAACCCGACTGTCAACAGGTTTCTCACCTTAGGTTCCCACTCCAGTCAAGCCAAGAGGTCATTTCATTTTGGCGATTTGCTGTTTCTCGAGTTCAAAAAGGAAGCTTTGGCCTGGTACGCAAGTGGTTCTTCCTTTAGCCTTTCCCTCCCATTTTTTCGTCCGGGCGTTCCCTAGATCCAAGTCGTGGAACCGAAGAGCCTGGAATCAGGTCGTGTCGCCTTGGGCCATGTTCGTAAGGCCCTGGACAAGCTGGCGTCAAGCAATTCTTGGGGCCCAACCTAGGCCAAAGACGGGAAACAAGGAGGCCATCCATTTTGCGGTTTGCATATCAGTACAAGGCCTTGAATTACTTATCAATAGTAACTTTGTTCATGTTGTTGGCCCGCTCGAGGGCGAAACACTCGCAACGGGAGAGTGATTCGCAAGCAAAACCACCCCTTGAGGGTATTGAGCATCGCCCGAAGGTTGCCGATCTGAATCGTTTCCTTGTCTCCTTATCTTCCATTTGCTTCAGAATACTTGACTTGTTGTTTGTTAAGACTCTAATTTCAAAGGGAATCTATCACTGGAATGTCACGATGTTTTTCAAGTGACCAAAGTGCAAATGGACACCATAGGTCTCCTTTTCGGTGGTTTTGCTCGCAAAATGGAGGGGTTTCGATTCCTGGCTTACCTGGTGGTTTTTTCTCCTCTACCAGGGAGCCGAGGACCGGGGTGCGTATCACCTCGAACCTCACGGGCCACGATGCGGTGGAGCCCGTGCGCGCTGCACTGGGCGCCCTGCAGGCCGAAGAGGTGGAAGAGGCAGAGGACGAGGCCGAGGAAGAGGCCGGGGAAGAGGCCGGGGAATGTGAATATATTCTTGGTGGCTCCCAGCCCGGTTCCTTAGCTTTTTAGTGTTTAGTGGTTTCCATTTAAACCACTAAAAGTTAAACTTTTAGCGGGGGATCTGAGGGCAGCCCAGTATATATTGTACTATGTGTATATATGTATGTATGAGTGCGTGCGCGATATATGATAACAACCCCCCCCCCACCCCCCAACCAAAAAAGGAAACAACGCGCCAAGAGCATTTGCTGGTACCTACGGTACTTTTGACTCATGTTCGCCCTCTTTCCTGGCCTCCTAAAGCGGAGCAGTTTTGTTGTGTCCGCGCATTTGGGCGCGGGCTCTTCAATGCGCTCCAACGAGCTTTTGGATTCGGGAGTCAAGATTCCCAGGAATCGAGTTTCGAATCTTGAATGCAGGGCTGCAGCCCACCCATCCTCAAAAGGCCCTTCTCAGATCAAGATGTCCCTCTGATTTCCCTCTGATGTTTTCTGATTTATTTTGGTTCCTTTTGGATTTCCGGCCGGAAACAAGACCAAAGGGGCCACATGCAAAGCTGGCGAGTCGCGCGAGCGGTCGCGAGTCGCTCGTCGCGAGTCAGGACTCCACGCAAGGGCTGGGCAACCACGAGCTCTTCGAGCTGGGCAGCCCTTCAGGGGCCTTGGTGGGCTTCAGCGTCAAAGGCCGGGCCTCATGGCGACGACCGAACCGAACCGAGCCCACTGTCCGTGTTTTTTTTGGCTTCCATTTGCTGAAAAGGTTCTTTTTGTTTCCCTTGTTGGTCTAAAAGGAATTGATCACCACTGGAATTGGTTTCTCATTTTTTTCCAGGGGTTTGAACCAAATGGAAGTTGTTCTGTGGCTTCTTTCCCTGGCTTTCTATTTGTAGTGTCCGTCTTTTTGGGTTTTCCCAGCAAGCCAGGAATAATGGAAGTTGGTTTCGCACTTCTTTTGGAAGCTACTCACTCTTTGAGTTCCTGGACTATACCGTTGGTCGCAACCCAGGCCACAACAATCCAACACATACATGTATGTATGTTTTTTTTAGTAGGTTTATATATATATATACATACATATGTATCCACACTGCGACAAGAGGTGCTCGACTTGTTTTCTGTTTAAACACACCATTTTATTGGCAATCAACAAGTCTGGGCGAAACAATTGGCATTTTGTTTAACAAGCAGGGTGCTAGATAGCAACCATCTTTTTCTAAAGGAAACCACATTGAGAGAAATTTGGCTGAGGTGTTCAGAACCCTTTTCAGCACCCAACAAGGATGCCCAGTCTCCAAGAATGGAGGCACAAATGACGATGTCCAATGACGATGTCACAAAAAGTTGCCGTACTTACGGCTATGTTTCTTGACGTGGTGTGTCCGTGAACTTTATGTGTTTTCTTTTCTTTGGCTGTTTCCCCCCACCTCACTCCACCGAAAGGTAAAACGGCTTGACTCAATGCCAAGTGCAAGCGAACCCGGAGGCCTGCTGGGATCGGGCATCATGAAGATCAAGGTCCAGATGAAGTTCGGAGCCTGGGCTCAGAGCTGGTTTGGGCCACGTGGTCGGTGTTCGACCGGGCGACTTTCAATGGCCAAATCACCTGAAGCAACAACTAGGTCTTCCAGTAATGCCCTTGTTCCACGTTTTGGGGGGAGGGGGAACCCCCTACTAAAATGGACAAAACGGAAAAAGTTGGTACCAACTTCTTCTGACTCTGGAGGACCTGAGGCCCTTGTGAGTGTCTGCAGGACCTTTGGACTCCCCCACGAAGACCATCGACTTGGTGAACCTCGTGGATCAGCTGCGGGTCATCCTCTCCGCCATCCCCTTCGTGTCCCAGGCGTCCAAGCAGAAGGCCATCGACGCCACCCGGCGGAAAGGTCCAGTGCCCTTCTCGCCCAACTTTGTTGGGTTGGGAAAAGGAACCCCCTACAAAAAGTAGACAAAAATGAAAAGAAGAAGAAAAAAAACGGGTACCAACTTATTCCAACCTCTCTGGAGGACCTAGGAAGAGCATGGCTTCCATGGGTTCATGGGTTCAGGACTTGACTTCCATGCCCCCTGTGCTTTAAAGGGAGTTTTGTTAGGGGGCTCAAGCAAATGAAACATGAGAAGACCCAAGCCTCAATGGCTGGGGGGAGGGATGCGGGTTCCCTGAGAAATTCGTTTGAATGGACTTTTGACGGGGGGGCTCTTTTACATGATGGGATTCCGTCAATATAAAGCAAGTGATCCTAGCGCAAACCTGGGTAAATGAGAGAGTCTACCACTGGTTTCCGTGCAGGCTTGTCCTTTTCACATGTGGTGGGGCTGGCCTACTAGTTGCGAATGATCGATTTCCCAAACATTGCGGGGAAACCAACCACAAGCTACTGAAGTTTCCTTGTTGGCCGTTCATATCCTGTCTTGTATTTGGGGAATCAAGCGTGTGTCTCTATGGCGCTGTTGCCACCCAACTCATTCCCGAGTTCAATGGGGACAAACGTGTACCAGCCGTATGGCCATATGGGTCTGTGTCAAAATGGGCTTGGCCCCTCTGGATACTTAAGGGCAAACCAGGCACCTGAATGAATCAGTCGATTCAACTCGCAACTGAAGCGCATGTGGCTGAATTCAATCCACAAGATCCTTCGTTGGATTGCGACAGAACTTAGCTTTGTAGTCGTGTCCCAGTGTCGGCTATACATAAACCAGCACGGGCCGCTTTGGGATGGCCGAAAAAAATGTGTCCAACGCCATGAGGCGAAAAAGGCCCAACCGTGTGCTTGTGCTGCAGAGAAAAACGTGTGGTTCCACTTGGTCACCTTTCGCACTTGGAATTTCTTTGGCCCAATCGGTGTCCTTGTGCGCTGTGCGGATTATGCGTGGTTCCCTGGTCACGAATTTCTTAGGTCCTTGACCTTGACCTCGATTGATCGCGTTCGGTGCGAGTAAAATTCCCCGAAAGGCGGCTGTTCCGAGGCGATGTCCTCCACGCACCTGGAGGCGCAAATCCCGGTGACCGAAGTCTCGCAGGCCTTGAACATCGGCAGCGGCTGGAGCGAGCCCAGGAAGCCAAGGGACTCGCCGGACGCGGGGTGTGAGGTGTAAAGGTCGGGATTCCTTTGGACATTTCGGTGGGGTTTCATGTCCAACCACTTTCAAGGGGGGTTCCCGAGCAAAGTTCATAGCCATACAAATGTGGGAAGAGAAACAAAAAGGCAACTGCCGTGCACCTCTGCTTTCAGGATGATTTTATGATTTATGGCTTCCATGTGTTTCTACTGGTCTGCACACAAAGTGTTTGCCGACGAGCGCGAACCCAGGACGGTCCCTTAGGGATTCCAGATTTGGGGGGTGTCTTTAATTTGCCCCTAGTCAGTTGGGATCGACTCGCCACATCTTTCATGCTCGCTTTGGTTTTTCCAACTATACGTGAAGACCAGATGTGCTGCGTGGGTGAGATGATAAAGTGACAGTCCTCTTGCCAAAAATCAACACGGATATCCTCCCACTCACCCCTTCCGGGTGCCAAATTGATTCAACCTTCCGCAACAAAAAAGCGATAAGGGGATGGAGATTGTCACGGCATTGCTTTTATTAAGGATTGCTCCAGGCCTCCTATTTTGGCACCTTCCCCTTGCTTATGAATCAAAGAAGGGCCCCTTCACGGTTTTTTTTGGTTGGTTCAGGACCCACACAAAATACTCTGTCTGGTTGTTGGCTGCTTTTGAGAAGCGGCGGCGCCCCAACTACTGGACCTTCGGGATGGCGCAGCGAGAGAGAGAGAGGGAGAGAGAGCAAGAGAGAGAGAGAGAGAGAGAGAGCCAAGAAGGGCTCCAACCCTTTTCTATCTTCGGGTCGGTTGCAACTGGGTGTACCCTGCCATCAACAAACATAGTGCACTCTCAACCCGCTTTGGAAGACCAAACTGTCCTCTCAATGGTGGCTTGACATTCCAGTTCAAGCAATTCTGCTTGGATTTGTGTACCCGGCTGTCATGCCGTCAGCACAACCTTGTCTGCCTCTGCTGGACTCTTGGATTTAGCGATTGGCTTTTGAACTTGGTGATGGGAACCCAGTTGATAACTTTCCGGTTGATGAATAGGTCCCTAATTTTGAGACAGAAAGCCGTCCACTTGATAAGGAGATCCTTCATTTTGGGGGAGTTGCATCCCGCTGTATCCTTCAAGACATTGACTCTTCATCGAATCCGATGAATAGGTGACTCACTTGCAAGGTGTTTTCTGGTACAAGCCATTCTGGTGTTTGAGTGTCGGTCGCCTTTCAGTGCTTGGCATTCGGGGCTCAAAATACAGGACCCGGGTTGCACAGCAGATGTTGCCCCTGCGTTTCTACAAGCTTCCCGGTCCCTTTTCATACTTTGGTGTTGTTTGTTTTCAAGTTTCGCATTCCTGGTGCTTTTGGAACCACTGGTGTTGGGCCAATGTTGCTGAAGCAGCTAGACCCTGGCCAGCTTCAGAGGGTAAGATCTATGGCTGTTAACTTTCTAGTTGAACATGTGTGTGTGTGTTTTGCGGGTAATCCCTGGAGTTCACTGGAATGTCCAAGCCGAGGATTATGGCTACGAATACGAGGGCGCCACGGTGCGCTTGCGGGATGGCATGTGCTCGGTACAGGCGCTGGTGGCGGGCGCCGCCTGGAACCAACGTGTGGCGACGCTGCCCTCGGTGTGCCGCCCGGACGGGCGCCTGATCTTCACCGCCAGCAACCACGCGGCTCGCTCGCCATTGGCTGCAACGCTTGGGTCAAGGCTTCTGGAGCCCTGTGGTTTCAGAAAATAAGCAAAAATCCAAGTAGGCTCCCCTTCTTTCGAAATTCGCAAGGGAACTCGCAGGGGAAGTTCACTCAGTTTTGGTGCTGAACCCAGGGATCCATCTTTTGAGACACCCAAAACCTATGGCAAAGAACCAAGAAGGGCAGGCATCCGCACGTATTTCTGGCAAGGGGACTGGTTTCCTTCTATTCGGCCAATCAATCTTCCCCAACATCCCTCAAAAAGGATGAGGGAAAAGCACAAGTTCCTGCGCAGGGCCTGTGTTTTGAGGCTATCAAGAGCTCAGCTCCGACCAGGGTCCCGGTTACCAAGCTCCAAGTCAGGAGCGAACAGCGAACCCTCTGCAGGAATTGCGCTTGTTGCGTCAAAGAGTCCTAAACCTACACACTAAAAATCCTAAACCTGAGCCCGCAAAACCCTCCCAAACCCCTAAGACTCTGAATCCAAACCCTCAAAACTCAAAGCCCAACCCAAAACACAAATCAAACCTAAATCCTACACCGAAACCCTAAACCCATAAAACCTAGCCTCTGACCCCTTCCCATCAACCTGCTGGGCAGAAGGCTTCCCAGCTGACAAGACTGTTGGGGCCGGTTGCATGGATTGGGCCAACTATTGCGGTTCGGTTCTGATTGCCCAGGCAAGTTTATTTGAATACCTGGACCAAGGTCCCCCAAGCGAAACCAAAAGGAGGTTTAAACAAGTGGTGCTTACAACATGGTCTGGTCCCAGCCTGTTGGCATTCCAAAGAAGCATTGCCCGGCAAGATTCAGTTGCGGTAGGCAATCCAAACCAGAAATCCAGACTTAAACATCAAGGAACTCCAGCTTGTATTCATGCAGGGTCTCGTGTTGATCCCTGGCAGGTCCCTTTTCGGGACGTCTCTGGTTGCAAACTGAGCTGTACGTCGAACGACGAGAATAGGTCTCCAGCAACTGGACCGCCTTTCGAATGATGTTTTCTCTTTTCGGGAAACCTGAAATACCAGGGGTCCCTATTCTGCTAGACCGTTTCATGGGATTCTTGTCCAGAAAAACACAGCCCCCTACATTCTTGGTTCGGCTCTTGTTGCGCTTTCTCTTGGAAGTGGTTTGATATTCCATCATAGCTCGAAAAACGGGGCCCTACTCTGCGGATTAGCATGGAACTCCAAAAATCAACATGGTGAGATAAGTATTTGTTTGAGGGCTCGCCCTTGTTTGGGTTTCGTGTTCTACTTGCAAGGCACTGTCCTATTTGTGGACGGCCACAAAGGGAGCTTAGCCGCAGTGCGCATCAGTTGTTGACCATGAGGACAACCCGGCGAGGGTGGACGTGCTGCCTGACGGAGAGGTCAAATGGATGGCAGGCTGGGTTAAAACATGGGACTGAACGACTGTTGACAAAAATACAAAACCTCCTCCTTCCGGTTTCACGCTTTTGGGTTGCAGTATCAAGTCGATTGAAACGAAAGTGTGGGGCCCGTTTGGCAGGCAGCACCTCCCATAGCTGGATTAGTCTGAGCAACATCGCGTTCGCCCCCGGCTCGGGCGGATGGCCCTTGACGCTGGAAAACGGATGGGTGAATTATGGGTGCCTCGGCAGAGCGAAGCAATGAGAGTCCCCTCTCCCCCCTTTTTTCCCCTCCCCCTTTTTCCCCTCCCCCTTTTTTCCCCTCCCCTCCCCTCCCTGTTATTATTTCTCTCTTTCAGGCAATTACTGTGGATTGAAATGATGCAGATTAGTGGTTCATCCCGTGTTGCAGGTACTAGGGCGTCCATTTCAACTGTGCGTCAATTCCTGTGAGTCCGAAGTGCAATCTCCGAAAAAGAAACACGTTGCCTTGCAATATTCGAGCGCCGAAATACACATGATTCCCTTATGCTCATGCGGTAGTTTCATCGTACACATTCTCCGCAAGCCCAATCTCATGCACTTACCCTGCTTGGGGTGATTTTAACGGCTTATCAGAGAGAAGCACCTGTTTTGAGGGCTGCCCTATTGAGACACACCCAAATGGCGCCGACGTATCGGAAATGTGGGCCAGGGTTATGATTCCCCTTGATTTAAATCTCCGTCCATAGCCATCCCTATACCAAAGGATGTTTAAGCCTTTGGCACGGCAGCTGCGGAATTAAATTGGCCCAATTGTTTCCCTTGAAAATCACTCCACGGGAAAGACGATGGGGTATGGTGTGCTTCTTTCAGGGTCGCCTTTTTGTGGGTCAAAAAAGAAGAAGAATGTCTTAAGCCCAGGGTTTGATTTGTCTCGATCTGCATGGCTTGTGTACCTGAGGAAGAATCAACCAATGTAACACCAAAAACAATCTGAGAACCGTGCAACAAGGCAAGCCTACCCATCCTGAGGGTTCTATGGAAGCTGGAGGCGCAAGAGTCACGTTGCGCATTGAGATCCGGAACCGGGACACGCCCCAATGGACCCCTGGGATTGGCTGGAGCTTAGGGCCAAGTTGCCCGTGATTCCTTTGATAGATGTCCAATGTTCCCATGTCACTCTAGACTCGCCAACGCCTGGTCCAGGATCCCTGGCGCTGGCCGTTTCAAGGGCTCGGCTTAGGGAACCCTCCGTAGTATCCCAGACCCATGAACCGGGGATCGCTGTAGGTAACCCAGCGATGTAAACGCTTCAAGTGCTCCTTTCCTTGGGTTCCAAAACCTGAACTGTGCTGTCTGTCGTTCACAAGGTGCAAGGCAAAGGTCCGGTCAGTTGCGGTGCACAACTTGTTGTAAACCACACTGGGCAACAGATCAGCTTGTGTATCAAGCCAAAGGCTGGAAATCCGTGAATTCCAGCCCAGGGCTGGTTACAGCCCCGCCGTGTACAAGCTCAAGGGCAGTCTTTGCGTGCTGTCAGGCACGGCAACCGACTCGCCCAAAAGCGAATCGACAAGGTTGACCTGTTGGTTCTTCTTTGCGTGGTTGTAAGGTCCAGTAATGAACCTTTTACACCAGCATGAGAGTAGATGGCACAGTTTCCTTTATGTGGATAAGCGAATCAAACTAAAGTTGGTTGGACTTGTGCCATCTACTTGCACCCAAATGGATCTGCAGTTCTTCGGGCAAAGAACTTGGGCCAGGGAAGATTGTTCGCCAACTGCGAATTAAGGGTGCCCCGTTTCCCATGTTTTGAGGTTGGTCTTCTCTTTTTGCGCCAGGGTGGCACCAGGCCCCTGTGCAAAATCAAGGAGAAACGCACTTGAGTCGGTGTCGACACTCCCGCTCCTTGCCGACCCCTCGCAGGCTTTCCCCGAATGTTTGGCTGGCCCAAAGCAAACGCTCTGAGGCTTTAGGTCGGCGTTACCTGGTAGAACGCGCTGAAACCCGGAAGCAACCGCGAGCACAGGCCAGGTGTCAAGCAGAATCTGACCTCATGTGTTCTCCCAAAGCACCATGTCGTACTTTTGCGACTGGACTTGCAGATGTTTACTTTGAACTCGATATGGGCCAGTCAATTGTGAGTACCATCACGGCCCGGGGCTTCAGCCTTCCTGCAAATGGCTCGGTTCCTTTGTGCAAACCTGCTGCCAAACGCAGGGCACGGTCAATCAGAACCTGAAAACCAGATGCGTTCAATTTGAATCGTTCAACTTTGTTTTGCAGACATGCATATGTCAATACGCAGTTGAGCAAGGTCCTCCTTGCCCGTGCTTGTCACTGGACTTGAAATTGTAGCCTTGTTTCATGCTGTCTTGTTGCGTAACTGTGTTGATTTGGATCTTGCAAGTTCGCGTGCTCAAATTTTAAGCTGTGCCGCTGCTAGGGCGGCTGGCACGTGATCTGCGTTTTGCTAAGAGGGCCTTGGCGTGTTGCACCTTGTTCGGGGCACATGCTGCTTTTCCTGCATCGCTAGCCTGAGGGAACGGGTTATGCCAGAGTTGGGCAAAACAGATGGGGGGGCGGCGCCTCAGGACTGATCGCGAATGGCGCGTGGACCACCTTTACCACTCTGCCGGAGGAATGCCGCCCCAAGGGAGGGGCACTCATCTTTTCCGCCAGCAACGGGGCCAACGACGTCCGGATCAATGCCGCCTGGCTAGCACTGCATTGTTTCCGAGCCGGGCCAGGTCCTCGGCCCCCCGCTTGTTTATAGGGGCCGTTCTTGGGCTTAACGACGGTCAGAAGCAAATCCATATGGGTTTGTCCTTTTTTGGTGTGTTGAGTTGCTTCAAAAGGCAGAAGGTGGGACCTCCCCGAAACAGAACCCGGCCCATAGGTTTGTTGGGGGGCCCAGCGAAGCAATTAGATCCGTTGTGCTTGGGAATAAGAGTATTTTGAAAATAACATTTAACCTTTGAACACGACTGCCTCACTTAAAACCACCTTTGATTGCAGGCCACGTCAGTAAGAAGTCATGTCGACGCATGAATCAACCCAGATTTGCCTTTGGGTGCAACCTAACCCAAAGGCACCCTGGCCATTCGAAATAAATCCATCCTTTTGCCAGACGGTGGTTTTTGTGCCGTCCCACTGGGAGTTTGAAGGGTTAGGGATGCGCCGGGTGAAATACTCCCGGCAGGTTGCACCCTCGGGCTTGGTACAATACGGAGGAGGCCACACAGGATCAGGCGGGGCGCGGGGCTCAACTGGCTCAGTCCCCAGGACTGGGACCGAAGGTTCACGAAAATCCGAAGCTGCAGACTTCAGCCCTTGCCAGTAGTGTGTGCTGGAAGCCAAACAAAAAAGAAAGGCCTTGGTCCATTTGGGTCGCGCAAATTTGGGCCTCTGGCATGGACTTCAAAGGGGCGTTTGCGATTTGGCATGCCCTTTCGCTTCCATGTCAAACTCGATGGGACTCCACATGTTTGGTCAATGAAGGCTGGGTTGGGGCCACTCAAAGCAAACCGTGTTACCACGATTGTTTCAACAACTTCCTCATTGCCACTGCCAACTTTTGCACCCCTTAGCTTGGCAAACCCTGACGGGCATCATCTTCAGCACCGACGTGGACCAGCAGCAGAGTTTGCCCTTGGCGACCGGATGGGCCGCCTACGGCAGCGGTTGGAGCCCGCCTTCCTGGGCCGTTGTGGAAGGCCTTTCGGCTGATCGCTACCCTCAGTCCGGGCTTGAGCTCAGGGGTCCTGTGCCTTTTCGACAAGGGACCGAGCTGAAGCACCTGATTTTCGTGTTCTCGCGTTTTTCAAGTTGCAGCCTTTCTTGGGGGACAGCTCCAGGGTTGGCCTCACAAAATGCGTCCCTGCCCCAAAAAGAGTGTCCCGGCCGGACACCCCAAATAGTAGTGGGATTCAACCAGAAGCCAACATGTTGAGCCTGCCTGCAAGTTTCCTTGCATCCCTTTGAATCCCATCCAAAAGGTTGGCGTCCTTGTGGTTTTCTATCGAAAGCAACCAAAAGTCGTACCCTCAAACAAAAAGCAAAGTGTGAACAAGTTGCCATTCCCACGCATGGTTGATCATGTTTTTACCATGCTTTTCGCAGCACCATATTCAAGAAACCCTTCGTGCTGAGAGCACAGATTAGCCGAGTAAAATTAAGCTTCGAGCGGTTCGCAGCCATGACATGGTCCCGGATTCGTTTGCATGATCGGTGAGTACTGCGCAGGATGACACCTGTTAGGATCATATATGTTCCCCTCGATTCTCAAAAAGAACGTCTCCATGTCCGATCAGGATCAGGGAGGTGTTCTCAGCAGCGGGGGTTCGTGCACTTTTGGTTTCTTCAATCAAAGTCTCAAGTTGTTTGTATCTTTTTGGAGACCTTTAAAGGGAACCCAGAGACCAAAAACCCAAAAACAGAACCCAGGAGTCCTTCGCTGGATGATTTTAAGCACCTTTCAGGATTCCTCGCTGAGTCTGCACAAGGTAGCTTGCTTCAAAGAAAAGTGTATGTGCAACCTCAACAGCTTGGAGGCAGTTTGCACCGTAGCAGACTTTTCACAATAACCCCACCACTCTCAAAAAATGTGTGGCTCTTCGTTAGTCTGACCTTTCACTTTCAACTTTCCAGAGAATGCGTGTGCGCGCGCGTTTCCCCCGGGCCAGCTTTGAGACACTGTGATTGACCCCCCAAACGGAGTTCCCTTTGCTTTTCCCAGGGCCGATTTCATTGCGAGTGGGTCGGAGTTTCGAGGCATGTGCGTCCTGGAGGGATTGATCGCTGGCACCTCGGCAGCCACCACTCGCGAGAATACAGGTAGTCTGGTGTTAGTTTGGGGAGGTCTCACAAACCAAAAGGGCTCACTCAACGTTGTCATGTCCTCGGGGAAACAAGAAGTTCTGCCTAGGCTCATGAATGAAGCCCTGCCCAGACTCGACCAAAGGAAGCGCCTTTCATATAAAAGTATATTGGTCTGGGCATACATGATTCCTCGGTATGAAAGCTTAGTTGATAGGTTAATTAATTGCTGGCTCTGGCTTTGAGTCGTTTCAAAAACAAAGCGGTCCAACCTGGCCATGTGTTTGGACAACTGCGCGAACATGGCGAGCTCACCGATCCGGGTGTATAACAAGCCTACCTGTTTTTTTCAGAATTCCTCAATTCAAGTCAATGAATTGATGGTATTTCGTGGGGGAGAGAGTGAGCTTTGAATTTGAAGGTTTCACTGTTTAGAAATCTCTTTGTGGGGTCGGGCTATCTAAGGCAAACCAAAAGAAAGCAACCAATTCGGGAAGTGGTCCATACTTTGATGCCAACCCATGTTGTCTCACCTGTTGAGGGGCATGCGGTGGGGGGAAACCGGGGGTGCACGCGGGCAAGTTCGGCTTACAGCTGGCTCGTTCTTTTGTTTGAGTCCCCCCTCTTGCCTCCTTGGTGGAGGAAGGGGGGGGGCTGGTGGAACCTGGTCTGGAGATCCCCTTGTGGGAATACCAGGCCAGGGGGTTCATTGAGGAGGAGTTCGCGGAGGAGAAGTACGAGGAGAAGAAGAAGGAAAGATCTAGGCTCTGTGGGATACCTCCTGAGGAGGGGGACTTGAGGTCCGTGGCCTGAGGCCTTTATCCCGGAGCCGAGCGGCGCTACCCGGCCTCGCATCTATGACAGATGCCCGTGTGGCGGAGCTGAAGGATGCGTGGGCCAAGAGAGGTGGAGATGAGGCGACCTTCAACGAGATGTTGGGTCGAGGAGTGGACCCGATGAGGACGGCCTGGATCGCAGGTGAGATGGTGAGGAATGAGCTGATGGACCTGGCCGAGAGTACTTTATCCCCCAACTGCCTGATTGAGTACCAGTGCTGGGATAACCATTGGCGTGATCAAGGCCATTCACTGCTGCAAGTGGTGGATTGGTTCAAGAAGGAGGATCGACTACTGACGGGGCGTCATCTGATAGCATCCGACGGCTACTACCAGCACTACGCGGAGGAGAGCTTGAATCTGGAAAGTGGTGTGTATCACCTTTGCCAGGGTCCAGCCCGGAGCTGCCGCTACCGAATGCCCCGTGGGAGTGCCCGAGAGCTGGTACACATTGACAAGTGGCGGCTCCGACTCCTGGAGCAGGTGATCAAGACTGCCTATAGCAGTGGTGTGGGGCTCCGACTCCTCAAAGATGAGGGGGAGAAAAGAGAGCTGCCATTGGGCAACCTGCCATTGCCGGCAGCCCCTCAGTCGGGCGAGGGCCCTTTGGACCAAGCCGTGAAAGAGAGTAAAAAGGCGATTGGTGAAATGGAGGAGTTCTGGAGGAATGAAGGGGAGAGAGTTGACGAGAGAGAAACGCGACCAAGGCAGAGGTCTCGGTCCCGTCGTCGGAGGCGAGGTGAAGATGATGAGTTGGGAGATTTGGTGCAGCAAAGGATTAGGGCGGAGAGATCCAGGAAGAGAAGCGCGAAAAGGACCCGCTCCGAGGACCGAAGGCACAAGCGAAAGGAGCGGAGGAGATCGAGCAGGGACTCGCGCTCTGAGGATGCGCTTTTTCGCGTGGCCCCCGCCCGGGGGGGGCGAGATGTTCAAAAGGTAGCAGAGAGGGAACCCGGGAGGCTGGTGAAGGAGGCTTTGATCGAGATGGGCCGGTACCTGGAAGGGAAAACTGGCGAGGCAGGCGAAGAGCAGTGGAAGACAAGGAAGTTCATGGCCTACATAAACCAGATCATGCTTGTGAGCCACCCCCCTGGAAAGATAGGGGTGCGAAATCACAGAGAGGTCATCACGGTCGGGACCGCACTGGACCTCATCCTAGAAGGTCGGATCATGGGCGCGGCCGACCTTCTGGTGCAGAGGCTGAAGGCGCTGGAACAGAGCTTCACCGACAACACGTGGGCAACAGCTCGTCATCAAGAGCTCATCCCGCCCAGCGCGGCTTCCATCAGCGGGCTAGAGGAGCGCGATTTGGCTATGAGGGCGGAGTTGAAGGCGGTGAAGCTCAAGGAAGCGCTGGAGAAGCGGAAGAAATAGGGGTGGGGCGGCGGGCCAGATCCCATTGTGGAAAGGCCCGTGACGCCACCCCCAACCGATCATGGAAAGGATCGGAAGGTGAGTTTCGAGGGTGTGGAGGAAGAGCATCCTCGGGCAGGAGCCTTGCGAGGCGTGAGGAGGCCAGGAGCGGAGAGGAGGACCGACGAAGGGGGTCGAGGCAGAGGCAAGTCTCCGTGGAAGACACAGTGGGGGAAAGGAAGAGGAAAAGACCAGAAGAGGCATGTGGAGCTGAAGCATCGGAGCCCGACCCCGAGGAAGGAGGCGATGAAGGAGTGAACAGCCCACTAGAGGGGGACACTGAGGCAAGTGAGGCGGAGATAGATTTCCGAAGGGCTCTCAGTGTCCTGCAAAAATGGTGTGGCGACAACTCTCCTGCAAATTTGTCAGCGGCTCAAATGGGAATCCATTTGCTCCTACAAATCCACCATAGCCACAGCGAGCTTGGAAATTTTCTGGCGGGCGAGATGCTGGTACCCCTCGAGAAGCGGCAGGAGGGGTCCCGAGCGAGGGATGTCCTGCCACTCCTCCAGATAGAAGATGCCAGGAAGGCTGCTGGGCAAGTGGTGGAGCAAGGAAAGTTCAAAGGAGTGAGCCGCCTGAAAGGGGGCAAGGCAGCCAAGGAGATGAGACGAGTGGGTTTACTGGTTTGGCATTTTCTTGTGGTTGGTGCCCTCAACTTCCTGTGGGGTGGCTGCTCTGGCAGCGGACCCCATGGAAGTGGTCTGAGGACGGCTCGAGGTGAGGAAGCGTCCCAAAGGATCTGGAAGGCTGTGAAAGCTTTCTGCGACGAGAAGGGGAGCAAAACCGGTGGGGTGCCGAGGACTCCCAGTTTAGACTGGAGGGCAGAGTTATCAAAGATGAAGCTGTCATACCAGGGAGAAGTAGTAGAGAAGGCCCGGCCATTGACCCTGGCTCAGATTCTGGATGGGCTGCCTCCCGTGGAGTTTGGGGCAAAGATCAACTTGTTGGACGTGGTGAGCCCAGAAATGAAAGAGCAGCTGCTCAACCCCGAGGCTCTACTGCTGGAAGGTGACGAGTTGCCCCCAGAAGTTCCGGAGCCGCGAATCCATGCAGAAAAGGATGAGTGGCATAAGATTTGCCGCGCCCTCTATGAGAGGGGGCTGGTGAGGCCCGTGAAGGACTTTCCCGTCCTCGACGGTCAGACGGTGGTAAACGGAGCCTTCGGAGTGGCGAAGAGTGGGAAAGTCACAGCAGAGGGCCAGGAGGTGCTGCGTTTCATTTTTGATTTGAGGGCAAGCAACTCTGTCCTTCGAGTGATCGAGGGGGACATCAAAAGTCTCACAGGCGCGGCGGCTTTCCAGAGGATTGTCCTGGAAGATAGCGAAGTCATCCGTCTCTCCGGTGATGATTTGGTAAGTGCCTTCTACCTCTTCGAGTTGCCACCCGTGTGGTCCCCTTTCTTGGCGTTGAGGGGTGCCGTACCTTGGCGCGCCCGCGGGATTGATGAGCCGGGGGAAACGCACCGATGGGATGGAACTCAGCCGTCGGGATCATGCAACATGTTCACCGGAGGCTTGCCCTTGAGGGCCCCCCTCGTGGGGGTGGGCTGCCATCCTTGCTGGAAATTCGCAAGGACGCTCCGTTTCCTGCCCGGTATGATGGATGGCACCCGTGGTCTATTTATTTGGACGACACCACTGTGTTTGAGGTACTCGAGAGGCAAGTGGCAGAGGCACTGGTGGGCGAGCCGGCAGAGGCCCAGGAGAGATTGAGGCGAGCCTACGAGTTTTGGGGCATACCCCGCTCGGATGCCAAGGCCCTGAATGGGGTGGCGCGAGCAGAAAGGTTGGGCGCCCTGATTGATGGGGAGGAAGGTGTCCTTCGAGGATCAACAGAGAGGGCGCTGTACAACCTATGCCTCGGCAGTTGGCTTCTGAGCCAGAGATGGGTGGACCGAAAAGCCCTCCAGATTTTTGCTGGGAAGGAAGTGCATACCCTGCAATTCCGCCGGCCGCTGTTTTCAGTCATGGACGTGATTTGGAAACAGATTGCCAAAGGAGGAGAGCAAGTAGTGCTGAGTGCCGACACCATCCAGGAGATACTGTTGTCGGGGAGCCTTCAGCCAATGCGGTTCACCGATCTGCGGGCCCAGCTGGACCCCTGCGTCACAGCCTCTGATGCGAGCGAACAAGGAGGAGGGGCCGTGTATTCCAAAGGGCTATCGCGAAGTGGCATCGAGGAAGCCCAAGAGCTGATGCGTGGAAAGGATGAGGCTGGAGTGGATGGACGACCGGCTGTGGTGGTTGTCGATTGGTTTGGTGGCATTGGTGGACTGCCGGTATCGGTGGAGAGAGCCGGATTGCGGATTGGCCACCTGATCGTTGTGGAAAAGGATCGGGATTGCCGACGCCTCCACCGAAGAGTGTGGCCCTTTGGCGACGAAAAGGTGGACATCACCAAAGTGAGCAAGAAGGAGTTGAGGACCATGTTGAAAAGGGTGCCCGGGCTCACCGGGGTGGTGTCAGGCGGAGGGAGTCCTTGCCAAGGCCTGTCGCGCCTGAGCAGCGAGCGGAAACACTTGGGGGACCCAAGGTCCGCGTTATTTTTCCAGCTGGTGGAAAAGATGAAGTGGATCGAAGAGCTGGCGGCGGAGATGCACATGTGGTGCCTGTCCTTCGTGGAAAATGTGGTGGCGGATGATGAGGATGTGGCAGCAATGACCGAAGCCTTAGGATGGACGCCCATTTTGGCGTGTTCCAGGCACCTCTCCTGGGTGAGAAGGCCCAGGCTCTA